TTGCGTGAACTGTGTTGCAACAGTTAAATGCCTCCAGTTTGAATCGGTAAAAGAAAACTTCAATGTACCCAAGTTAAATAGCCAGCATTCCATGAGATGCACTATCGCCAATGCTGTCCAGCACTCCCAATAGTTCATTCCCTTTTTTAATACCGGGGTGACGGCTATAGAATAAAGTTAGTAGCTCTCTATTGGCGCTCTCGAAACCCAAAAGAAAACGGGTTCTATAGATTCTATCCGTATTTTAGAATGTGTGTCTTGTTGTTTGTTTTTGTGCTGCTACTGATTTATGGTAATTACTCGTCCTCACTTTCAGGCCATTTGATCACCGAGTCCTCGCTGTTGCAGCAAACAACAAGATTCTCATATGGAGGCTTAGTGTGAAGGCAACAAACATCAAGTGAGCATTTTGCGTTAAGTAAACAACTTTGGTCGGATGTGAGAGCAGTAGAAAATAAAAAGTAGAAAAATAGAAAATAGATGACGGGCTTCGGAAACGATCTTCACCTCGTTCATCTTTATTGCTGGAATGAGATGCAAGTTATTTCATTTCAATGCATTTCAAATGATCTTCAAAGGTTTTTTTCTGTATAGTAGTTCTATGCATCATTACATATGAGGATGACAATTTGGATTTTTTAACGAGTTGCAGCTAATATTGTCAGTGCCCGCTTGGAAATCATTTATGAAAACTTTGAAGCTATTCAATTTTTCCCTGTGACTGCCATTACTTTCAGGCCATCTGTTCGTTGCGCTCAAGTCGTTGAATTGCCTGCGACGCCCATCAGTCAAATTGTTTGGGATCGTACAACATCAAATGTTATATTAGCTGTATCACCGAACAGCAGTAAGATCATGGTAAGCAATATAGCCTTTTTGTTTTACAAGCGTGCTCTACCCAATTTCGTCCTACAGATAGTTGACATATCCACCGGTGAGGTGGATTGCTTTGGTGCATGGACTGGTGGTAATGTTACAAGAATTGTACCTACACTTGATGGTCGCCGATTTGCTGTCCTGTATACGGGCAATGTCATAAGGTGAATGATTCTTATGACGAATGGCAACATTTAATTAAATTTACGCATTGCAGGGTATACGACCGTAGTACTTGGCATGAAGAGCGTTGGAGCGGTCTAGCAGGTCGAGCAGTTAGCGCTGTTTGGTCGCCAGCTGGAGACTCGTTGTTGTTTGCTTCTGAAGAAAGCTATCAGCTCTACACAATTTCGTTTGTAACAAAGAATGTGCTAAATGAAGATGGAATTACTGAAGCGTAAGTTAATGTTCTGTTTCCGTCCTAGAATCCATCATTTACCTTTCCGAATAGCTCCTGCTGTACTGCACCTCGTGATTAGCCTTTGGAAGTTTCAATTTAACGACGTCGTCGTTTATTCTTAGTTTCTTACGGATGATGCTTCGCTTTAGTTTCACTTTGGATGTAGATAATCAGCTACTACACAGAGACAATAATCATCAACGTATG